GCCTATCGGAGCTTCCTTGGGTTATACTGGTGTTTCTCTTGGGCCCCTTCTGCTTTCCGTGTATGGCCCTCTTGGAATCACATGGGGCCGCTCTTGGGACCCCTTTGGCCCTCCCTCCGAGCTCATGTAGACGCAATGTTGCGGCTATGTTGGAGCGGTCTACCGCCTCTCTATTTTGCGCCGCCACATGGTGCTCCATTCGAGCCATCTGGGGGCCTCCGCGGAGTTCAGGGCCGTCTTGACGCTCTTCTGGGTATCTCTTCAAGTCCTCTTGGGCAGCACATCTTGGTGCCATCTTGATGCCACTTTTGAGTCTCTTCCTCGGACCTCTTCGGCCTTCTTCAGACGCCTTCTCAGGGCGCTTCTTGGGGCCCTCTGGGGCCTTCACTTGGGGCCCTTTCGGATTCCCTTTGGCACTTGCGAGGCCCTTCGGATGCGTGCTTGAGGCGCTTTGAGGCCATTGTCGGAAGCACTTGCGACGACTCTCAGGGCACTCCAATTCTCCTCTCGGGGCCTCTTTGAGCTGTCTTGGGCCCTTTCTTGAGCCCCCCGTGGAGCCTCACTAACGGCGCTCTTGGGATTTACTTGGGTTGCTTTCTGGTTCTCTCCTACGCCCCCCCTGGGACGCTCTTCGGATCTTCCTAGGGCGCCTTGCTCCTGAGATCTCTGAGTTTTTAGAGCTCCTGGAGAGCCTCGAGAGGTGCCAAGCCTTCAAACCCCCAGAACACGCATACCCGTTTTTGCAGACCTCGCCTTCTTGGCAGTGCCCATACGCCTCCCGAGCTTCTGGGTGCCAGCTGAAACGCCGAAGAGAGATCGGGGGCGACAAAGAGGGGGGTGATGACTAGGGGGGGTGGATATCATGGCGGGGACCATGATATTTTCCCAGATTTTATGGCGCCTCTTCTTATTTCATTACGTCCCTGGCTCCCCCGCTGGGCCGCGCACATGCCGCCGGTCATGATTTGCACCCCCCCCTCTTGGACGCCCCCCTCCTGGCCGCCCCCGAAGAGAGACCCGAGAGACGCCCTCCAGGCCTCCAGGACGGCTCCAGGAAGCGCTCCGGCGAGGCAGCCCCGCGCAGCGCCCCCGGACGGCCCAGAGGAAGACGCCTCGACGACCAGGGGCCTGGGCCCGTCCCAAACGGCTTTGAGGCGTGCCTTCTGTCGGGCGTGTCCCCCTACAGGGGGATTTTCGACGAGAAATTAGAGATACCCCAACAATGGTCAAAAAAGGCAAAAAAATACTCAAAAATAGTCCCCAGACTATTTTTGGATTATTTTTTGATTCTTTTTGGGGTATTTTTGATTTTTCGTCGACAATCCCTCTGTAGGGGAGGACAGGCCCGACTTAAGGCGTGCTCGCAGGTGCCTCAGGCGGTCCCCCGGGGGGCCCCGACGTCGAGCAAATGCCCCCAGACGCCCCTGGTGGCCTCCAATTGGCCTTCAGTCGGGCCTGTCCCCCTACAGGGAGATTTTCTACGAAAAAGAAAAGATACCCCAAACATAGTCGAAAAAGAATCCAAACATAGTCTGGGGACTATTGTTTGAGTATTTTTTGACCTTTTTGGGTAACTTTTTGGGTATTTCTAATTTTTCGTCGAAAATCCCCCTGTAGGGGGACACGCCCGACATAAAAGTGGCCCAAAGCGCCCTCAAGACGCCCCCAAAGAGCTTCAGACGGCCCCAAACGCTGTCGAGACGCTCCAAGAGGGTTCCAAGGGGCACCCCAAGAGGACCCCAAGAGACAACAATCATTGCTTCCTCTCGCTTCGCGGGGTGCACGTCCAGAGTACGTGCAGTCAAGTCGTTTTGGGGTTTCTCGGGAGTTTCGTGGGGGCGTCTTGTGCCTTTTGGAGGCTTCTTGGGGATTTCTTGGAGGCCTCTTGGGGATTTCTTGCGGCCCCTTGGGGCCTTTGGGGGGCCTCCTGGGGGCGTCTTGGGCCGTCTTGGGGCGCTTACGCGCCGTTTCGCCCCAAGAGGACCCCAAGAGACAACAATCATTGATTCTATCGGCTTACGCCACATCCGCCGACCTCTCTATAAACTACTGCGCGTCCAGGACTGCATTCCACGAGGCTTGTCCGATTCCTGGGGGGTTCTTGGGGGCGTTTGGGGGCTCTGTTCTGGCTCCCCGGGGGCTTTTTGGGGCGTGTTTGGGGCTTCTTGAGGCAACCTGGGGGCGTCCTGGGGCCGAAGGCTGGAAATGTGGGTTCGGGTTCCCCCCGTGGGCCTCCTTTTGGCGCCGTCTGCCTCTGGGGCCGTTATCACGGCTTCTTTGGCGGTCTTGGGACGTCTTGGAGCTGTCCTAGAGGTCTTTCGGGCCGTCTTCCACGAAAGCGCAACAGGCCAATATGTTTAAACATACGTTTTCCTAAGTGGATTGGGTAATTTTCATTTCTTCGGTGCCTTTTGGGAGGCCTCTTGGAGGCCTCTTGAGGCGTTTTGGAGGCATCTTGGGCCGTCTGGATGCCATCTTGGGCGTCTTGGAACGATCATTCGACGATTCGGGACCCTCTTGGTTCGTGTTGGGGCCCAATTGGGGCCCTCTTGGTCCGTTTTGGGGCCCTCTATGCTCCCATGGCGCGTTCGTCCGGGGCCGTGGGGGGGGGGGCAAAATCTCCGGTTTGGGGTCTCTTGGGAGAGGTTACGGGGGGGAGCAATCTCACACGCCTGCAGACCCACAAGGGGTCGGCGGACCCCGAGAGGACCCCAAGAGAACAATCATTGATTGTCCATGCTTTTTCTGCACCACTTTCTGCTACCAAGCGTTCCAATATTACCACAGAGGCCCCGAGGATCGCCCCTGGGCGGCCCGAGAGGCTCCCAAGTGGATTCCCAGACGGCCCGAGGGGCCCCCAGAACGGCTCAAGAGAGCGTCCGAGACGGCCCAGGAGGCACCCGAGATAACCCGGAGATGGCCCGAGTTGGAGCCGCCGCCGCACGCCGCCCCCCCCCCCCCCCTGGTCGGTCGGCGCAGATTCGCGACGGCAGGTCCCGGTGTGACAGGGCCGCCTGCACGCCAGCATAGCTGCCCTATGGCGGCACCCTCAGCCCCCCGCGCGGCGGCCCACACACCCGCGCCTGCCACTCTTCCTATACTGCCTCGGTGAGGGGGGCCGGGGCCCCCACGGGAGGATCGTCGACGTGAGCCTTCGGCGCCCTGCCCGCGCGCAGGTTCGCCAGGTGCCACGGCTGCTTGGGGCGGCCACAGCAACCGCCGGGGAGGCCTGCCAGGCGGCGCTGAAGAAGAGGTGAGTCGTGGCTCTCTTCGTCGCCCCGGGGTCCCGGGCGGCAGCTCTCTCACGTAGCACGTGGTGCCACGGCCTCGAGGGGCCGTGGCGGCACTCTGCTCTCCTCCGTGTGTCCCGCTTGGGCCGTCCGGGGCGCTTCTTGGGCTGTCTTGGGGCCCTTTTTGGGCCGTGTTGTGGCTGTTGTGGAAACCTCTTGGGCCGTCTTGGGGCGGTCTTGAGGCTTTCTTGCGCCGTCTTCAACGCCGTGAAGGCGGAACATGTGTACATCATGATATTTTTTTTGCCTCTTTGGCCCATCTTGGGAGTGCCCTTTGGGGCTTCTTGGCGCATCTAGGAGCACCTTTTTGCCGTCTGGAAGCGGTCTTGGGTGTCTTCGACCGATCGTTCGGCCACTCAAGGCCCTCTTGGACAGTCTTGGGAGTCTCTTGAGACCCTCTGGGACCGTTTTTGGGGCCTTCTATGACGCGTTAGGGCCAGGGTCACCCGGGGCCCAGGGGGAGGGGCCAAAGTCCCAGTTTGGGGTCCCCAGGGGGGATAATGGGGGGGAAGAAACTCGCACACCTAGAGACCCACAAGGGGTCGGCGGATCTTCTTTGCTCCCGCCTGTGACTGTGTGTGCCATGCGTGTTTGTTTGGCCTGCCACTGTAGCTCTTGGCTGCGACCTAGCGTCCATTCCTGGTTCCTTTCCTCCGCCCCGTCCCCTCCTTTATCTTCGCGGCTACTGTAGGGTAGATCGTTTTTTGTTTTTTCTGCTTGCAGTCAGGGTTCACGCCTGAGAGCCCACTGCAATTTGTCTTCCTCTGTCTCTCGTGCTGCTCCCCTTTTCCCCTTTTTCTTCCCCTCTGGGGGCCGCAGGGGATCTCCGCATAGCGCCGAGGCCCCGCCCCCTGCTTCGCCTTCCCACCTGGATAAGCTGCGAACTCATGGTTCTTGTCGTCACACGCGTTGACTCGCCCTCTTCCCGCGCCATCCCCCCCAGCCCCCCAAGGCTGTGCCTGAGTGAGTCTGAGTATGAGTCTGAGTATGAGTGAGTCTGAGCACGTGTGCGTCTGAATCGAATGAGTCTGAGGAGGAGGAAGAGGCGGAGGAGGATGATGATGAGGACGAGGAGGGGCATGGGGCTCGGAGTATAGGAGTATAGGAGTATAAGTGTATAAGAATATCAGACTCTAAGGTTATAACAGCGTAGGAGTATAAGAGTATACGGTATGAGAGTATAGGAGTATAAGAGTACAAGACTGTTGTGCCTGCTGCCGCCGCCGCTTGTAGAGAGCGATCCGCGAGGCGAGTGCTCAGCAACAGGGGCCCAAGAGGCTTCTTCAGAATCCCTGAGGCCCGAAGATACCCTGGGGACTGAGAGTACGTGGGGGGAGGCCATGAGAGGACCTAGGGCTCCAGGACGCCGTGAGGCCTCAGGAGGCTTAAGCGCACTTAGAGGGCCCTACAAAATGCGCACCTTTAAATTCTAAGAGGCCCTGAGGCCTTTGCAGGCCCATCCCGCCACCGTGCCTGGGTTGTGGGGCAGAGGCCATGTGCGTCAGAGATCTGAGGCATTGCGCTCGTGGCCTTAAGAATACTCAAGGCCCTGAGGACTGAGGGCCTGAGAAGACCTGGGCCCCTGGGGCCATGCGTCATTCCGTTTGACATTTCGGCTCATGTGATTGCGGCTTTCCCGACGCCGCACTCCCAGCGGGCCCTCCTCAGCGGCTCGGCGGGCTCCCTCGGGGCCTCGTCAGTTCGCCCCTCATGACGCGGGACTTCAAGACCCTCAGCCGCGAGCAGTTGGTGGCCAAGATTCATGGTCAGAGTTCGGTCATCAAGGACCTTCGCTCGAAGAATCGCAGCCTCGAGGGCAAGCTCGGCCGCGCGAAGCAGAAGGTGATCACGGAGAAGGGCCTGATGGGGGTGAGGATGCAGCTGGTCCAGGTGCGGGCGGAGAAGCGCGAGGAGGCCCTCAAGGCCGAGCTGAAGGAGAAGACCGACATGCTGAAGCAGGTGAAGCAGGAGTTGCTGAAGGACGTCGTGTTCCAGAGGAAGCTCGAGCACGCCATGGTCGAGAAGGAGCGCGCGAAGGACGAGCTCGTGGCCGCGACGCCCCCGCCGGTGCTGCCCTTCGACTTCGGCAAGCGGATGCGCGAGTATTCGACCCTCACGATGGCGGAGAACGGCACCGTGATGAAGATCTACGACGGCGGCCCGCACATGTTCCACTACGTCTACGACTGCACCCGACTCGACGGCGTCTCCGACTCCGACTCGTCGGCGCCCGACTCCGACTCCGACTGAGGCTGCAGGTGCTGAGAGGGCAATCGGCGACGGCGACGACTCGACGACGACGACGACGACGACGACGACGACGACGACGACGACGACGACGACGACGAAGGCGACGACGACGACGAAGGCGACGACGACGACGACAAAGACGACGACGACGACGAAGGCGACGACGACGACGACGACGGCGGCGACGACTTTTCGATCGAGGTTCGAACTTCGAGATTCGATGGGTTCCTGGGCGCTATTGCCCTCTGTCGCCCTGTGCCCGCGTGCCCCCGCCACCAGCTGCGAGCCAAGTTAGGGGTGCATGCTTGGCCGCTTGGTAGTGAGATCAGCTGGCACTCGCGTCGCCAGCCGCCGATCCCAGGACAGATTCTAGGAGTCTAGGAACACCCTTGAACCACAAAACACACGTGTTTTGAGAGTAGCGCCGTTTCGTCAGGAACAGTGGGGGGAGGGGTGATATAGAAACGACATCTCGCCCCGTGCCCGCGTGCCCATGCCTCGCGGGGCAGTCGGCGACGGCGACGACGACGACGACGACGACGACGACCCCGTGCCAAGTTAGGGATACACTATGCTTCGCATCCAGGTCAGCAGTGGGTAAAAACCAGTCCCGCTTTTGAGAGTATGGCCGTTTCGACAGGAACAGTGGGGGAGGGGTGTGATAGAATCGAAATCTGGAGTAACGGAAACTCATCCCCCCCCCCCACCTCCCTCCCTCCCCCCTCCTCCGTAGCCGTTTTGGCTCAATGCCGTGCCCAGCGCCAGTTTGGAGGGACATACGGGAGTTCGTTGTGACAGCTGGGGCGAGGTCGCTGCGAGTCAGCGAGGTTGCCAAGTTGGTCCAGCACGTCCTCGGCGAGGACGTGCTGGACGACCCCCAGGCTGGGATCAGCCTTGCAGGGCTCCGTGCTAGAGTGCGGGCTCTGAAGGAGAGCGCGGCGCCTGTTCCGACGGCCCCGCAGGTGCTCGCCACGCACATCGACGTGACTCTGCTTCCTGTTGTGTTGGAAAGGTTGTGTCTTATCAGTCTGTCGGGTGAGCAACGCGCGCAGCTTGTGGGCCTGGCCCTTGAGAGCCCCTCGGCGCCCACGGCAGTGCCGCTCGCGCTTCCAGCCGATCCCGCGGTATCCAATGCCCTGGACCTTGCAGTTCGGGCTGCACCTTCGAAGTACGATGACCTGCCCCCGCAGGAGCTGGTGGCCTTGTTGGTCGCCCGCGACAGTAAGCTTGCCCAGCAGAGTGTAGAGGCAACGAAGGCACTGAAGCGAGAGATGCACTGGTCTGCCAAATGCGATGCATAGATAGCGCAGGTCGCAAAGTGCAATATGGACATCACTGCATTGAAAGAACATGTGAACTTACGTGCGCACGGATCTCATCGAGTGTCTTTGCGCGGCGGGTACATGTTGGCGTGGAAGCGGGCACTGAGCCACACTGGGGCTCAAGCGGTTGTTGCCATGATTGGGGGCGACCCTCAGAATGGCGGGTTGAAAAGTAAAGATATTGTTGTTCGTTTCGAGCACCTCGCTTGCGGGGTGCAACGAACAGGCGCTAGCATTTTTCGCAGGGGTATGGAGGAGCAGGCTTTTTCGGCATCTCAAGAGGCACCTGCTCTCAGCAGTATCGAGGTCCACGCGTACATGGGGGATGCAACGAACGAGAACGCAGTTCGAAAAGCTAAAGTACACCTGGGTTTCACGTGGTCCTTCTGGATTTCTGGGTATGCTGTTGCAGAGGTCCCAGCTGGGGGCTCGATTGCAGACGTCGGGGTTGGCCTGAATCATTCCGCAGTTGATGTGCAAGAGGTTGTTCATGGCAACGCAGCGGAAACTAAAGCAATTTTTAAAAAGCAAATGACATCAGTTTCAGTGCCCGTCTGGACGGACCCACCTGCTGAGTACGTCTTCAGAGTTTACCTCACCATTTTGGATTCGGCTGCTGACAACGTGAGGGCAGTGAAGGATATTACTGGCGAGATTCGAGACTGTCCGAGAACAGCGTTGCTCCCCGAGTTTTGTAAGCTGCACCAGTTCTCGCTCATGATGTTGCACCACTACACAATCATGGATAAATGGGAGTTCGCGTCGTTGGGCCCCGACGGCGCTCGCGATGTCAGGAAGGCTGGCTACGCCTGCAAGGTGGCCTCGATCGCAAACACGTGGAGGGCGCCTGGCGCCGCGAAGCTGATTTACAAGGCTGTCGCCGCCACGTTCGGCGACGAGATTGCCCACGCCGTAGCCAGGAAGACCCCTGGGCGGGCCGTCAGGACGAGGTGGCCATTTGCCCTCCTCATCCTCCTTGCAGTGCCTCCACTCCTCCTCTCCCCTACCTCGCCCCTTGCCTTCTCGCTCTCCTCCCATCCCTGGGCCCCGCCCCTCCCCCCCTCTCGGGGAATGGGGAGGTGGCGTGGTGACGGGCATTGCGTTGTAGGCGTGTTGCCTCCCTCCAAGGTGGGGCTCCCTGTCGGCGTGCGAAGGCATAATCTCCGAGGGCCACTGCTACCTCGCAGCTGGCTTCGAGCAGGCATTCAGTCATCAGCTCGCCGCCAAGAAGAAGCGCGCGAGCTTGCTTGGCGATATTGATTTTGATTTCAGCGAGCAGAGCCGCCAATTTCGGGTCAACGCAGTCTCGTCCCTTAGCGACCCTCGGTTTATCGTGATGTGCAAAATATCTTTGATTGCGTCCTGGCCCCTCCGCCACTTTTACCTGTGGCTTCAGAAGGCCACCAAAGAACGGAATGAGAAGGACAACGAGGAGAACAAATACAATGAGGCATACCTGGGACCTACTCCGCTGTCGCGGCTTGTCACTTACAAGTGCGACGTGCTGGTGGCAGAGTTCAGCGAGGTGCTCCGCGAGGGCGGGAGGTTCGCGCTGGAGTGGGGGGCGCTGTGGCCGCTGGTGAACCAGTGTGACGTTGCGGATGCTCGGGCTTTGTGCGTCACTCTCGCTGTTGCTGGCGCGTGTCAGTTCGAGCAGCGCGTCAGCAGGCCCCTCAGGCAGTTCCCTTACTTGTTCCTGCTGTGCGTCGAGAGCGCCCCAGGAGTTAGAGATGAGCGGCGCATTGAAGTCGCGAGATTGTTGCTTTCGTCGTGCGAGCGCTGCCTGGAGGACCTCCGCGGCGATTTCACCGTGAAGGTGCTTCGTCGGTACAGGGCCCACTGGGAGGTGACGGAGAAGCTTGGTACTATATCCACCGAATTGCATTCACTCCTCCTTGGCGTTCGGTCTGCGTGGCTGGAGAACACGCAGAAAGTCGAGGGGGCCAACAGCGTGATGCAGGAGATCTGCAAGCGCGCGCCCAACATACATTTACCGTTGGCTAGCGACCGAATATCTTTGAAGCTAGGCGAGAAGCGAACCGTCAGCGACTGCCTGGTCCTGCACAAGGATGCTCTCCGCCACCAGTCCTCGGATAGCCACTGCCGATTCAGCGCTATGCCGCTGGCGGACGTCTCTGGCCCGAGCGACGCCCTCGTGGCAGTGGGCGGCGCCGCCAGTGCTGCCGACCGCCATCCGCCCAAGTGCGTCCACCTGCTGTGCTCGGACTACCCGAGCAGGCTGGCCAAGGGCATCCAGTCGTTCTGCTTCGGGGAGCTGGGGAGCACCGCCCGCCACGTGTACCAGGCGGGGGCGGCGAACGCGAAAACCGATGAGCTCCCGTCGCGACATCATGGCGGGCGCCCCTCCTGCCAGGAGGAGTGTTCGTTGTGATTTCGCGCGAGGGGGCCGTTCGCTTTCGCTGCCCCCGAAGGTGGAGCTCAAGTTCGGCCTCGTCAAGGCCAACATCACTGTCGCGCTGGAGCCATTCGTCCGTGGGCATACTTTCAGCACGACAGTATGGGGTTGCAAGGCTCGCGTGCAGGAGGCGGGCGTAGACCTATTGCTGCCGCTGGAGCCCTTCGTCTTGAAGGATCGGTTCTTCGAGGTGTTGCGGGATAGCCACCCCGAGAGGCCGTTCAAGCACATCGTGATCGTAAAGCGCGACGTGACTTGGAGGTCATGTTCCAGCGGGGTCGTGGCTTCCACGAGCGCGAGGAAGGTGAAGCCTCGCGCGGCGGCTCCTAGCGCGGCAAAGGCGCCGAGGCCGCCAGCCGATGAGGGGGGCGGCGGCGACGCCGCTGCCTTCGACGTCCCCGACGACGGCGCGGACGACGGCGATATGGACCTGGAGGGGATGCTCAGCGACCTCATCGACTCTACTATGGGAGGACTGCTGGGCACGGGTAGCGAATCAATCCTCATCCTCTTCCTCATGTCTCTCATCATCCGCCTTCCCCTCGCCCTGGCGGGGGGAGGGCGCCCCCACCCCTTAACAGTAATAACGAGGCTGTGGCTTCGGAGGGCGAGGAGGGGGAGAAGGGGAATGCGTTCGGAATGAGGAGGGACGAGGCGAGGGAGGAGGAGGAGGAGGAGGAGGAGGGGGAGGAGGAGGAGGAGGAGGAGGAGGAGGAGGAGGAGGAGGAGGGGAGGAGGAGGAGGAGGAGGGGGAGGAGGAGGAGGAGGAGGATGAGAGGAGGAGGAGGAGGAGGAGGAGGAGGAGGAGGAGGAGGAGGAGGAGGAGGGGGAGGGGAGGGGGGGGGGAGGGGAGGGGGAGGATGAGGAGGAGGAGGAGGAGGAGGAGGACCCACCCCCCCCCGCGCCCCGAGGAGCCGACGGCGTCGTCGACGGAGGCGGCTGCGACGACACCGAGCCCATCGTGGTGGATGTCGGCGTCGGGCCAGGCGGCGGCGGGCCGCCCGCGCAGTTGCCGCTGCCTTTCGGGGTCGCTCTCGGCCTCGGCGATGGCGGCCCCTTGGGCCCCGTGCTCGCGGCCGTCCGCGGGGACTGCCGCCTTGGCAGAGAGAGGGTGGAGGGCGCCCGCTCGCGAGCCGCCGACGCTCGCTACCGCAGGGTCGGGGGGATCCACTCGATATCATTAGTTCGAACCCGTCCTGAGCCAGGAGACGCCGTTGCGGGGGCATCCCTCATATGCGTTCGCTGGGAATCTCCGACGTCGA